GCACAATACATTGGGCGAGCTTCGCAAGATGTTGGACGAGCCGCATAGGATCTGCGCTCGAGATTCCTGCCTTTTCCTTGCTTTTTTTCTCTTTGGTCTCTTTTGACTAGCATTTGAGCTGCTTGTTTTCCTCGGCTGCCCACTGATCCCATACCTTTTTCCTCTTCGAATGCCACTCTTAGGAATAATCCTTATCCCAAATGTGCTGCTTGGCCTTCAAAAATGAATGTTTTATCTAACATTCCAAGTTTTAAGCAGTCGTGTTCTCGATAAACAGCCGGGAATTCCAAATGAAATTCCCTCTAAATCATTTTAGAGGGAAGGAATATGGGGAAGAATTCCCTTTTCCTTTCGACGTCAGCACCCAATGCAATCAACGAAACTGAAAGCTTTCATTTCTTTGGTGACGACATAGTTTCCATGGTGACTTCACTGAAGTCCATATTAAAGCAACATAGTAACTCAGCGACGGGGCGGGTCTACACCACCCCACATCATCCATTTCATAGTGCTTTTGAGCTCCTATTAGCGTCTGAACTTCGCAACCTGCTTCCTTCACTTACAATATGATCCCATTGCATTCTAAACATGGACCGGCGGCCTTTCAGAGCGTCAGTCGCTTGCCTCCCGCTACTGTACTTCCACGAATTCCAGTCACCCTTCCATGTTCCTTTTTTTGGGCATTCCTTCCAGATGATAGCCAGGGCGGAATCTACCGCTGCGCACGTACTCAACGAGGGGCAGAAGAAGCACTGGAGACCGTTATCGGCGCTGGCCAATCCTTCCGGGATATGTTATTTTTACGTATAGAATGTAGAGGCACTCCGATTCCTACCTGTCCGTACAGAGACCGCTGCAGCAGCTCCGACGGCAAAGCTGCCAATACGCACGCAACCGCTCGCGACAGTGCTTGCTGGACACGGTCCTGCTTCATGCAAAAAAATTGAGTGCGCATTTTCCATTTCCGTCATTTTGGTGATGATGAAATGCAGGTTCGGGTCTTGACTACCGTCGCCTCTCCTGGCCATCACTCGGCTTTTGATCAATTCACGTAGAATACGCCGTTTATCAGTCTGTTGTGCTGTAAAGGCATTGCGACGCGTCCTTGAATACAAAAATTGCCACAACATTTTTCATAGCATAGATACGTCTGGGAACCGTGGTACGCACGCAACCGCTCGCGTCAAGATCTGCGTGACACCATCCTGCCCCACGCTAAGGAATCAAATATGCTGTCACTCCATCCTGTACCCCACGCATAACAATGGTCGGAAGTCCCACCGATAACTCAATATTCTTCTGGTAGAACTGCCACTACTAAGAAATCCATTGAAGGTGCCGCTATTCATTAGACTTACATTTGCAATCATAGACATTTCTATTCATATAGCCCTCATGAAAACTGTTATAACAGTCGCAATAGTAAAGGTGTCCCTTAAAATGGTAGTACGCTCGCAACCGCTCGTGGCAGTGCTTGCGCAACCCCACTTTGTCGCACGCGAAAGAATTAAGTATACTGCCCTTATCCAGAACCTCTGTCATTACGGTGATAAGTCCAGCCCCTAGTACTCTTTTGAAACAAGTGGCAGCGTTGTTCTATCCGTTTGGGATGTGTCAGTCACTGGCCTTACTCAAAGATGTCCTGCAAAATCATGGTACGCACGCGACCGCTCGCGGCAGTGCTTACAGGACACCATCTTGCGCCATGTGACGAAATAATCTTATGCTCCTCATCTTGCAGTCACGTCATTCTTGGTCATTTCGCTCCTCCAAACACTTCCCAAGCGTGGGTGTAACCCTCAGCTAATCAATTCAAGCGCTGTGCAAATATTCGTTTTTGGGGTTGTTTGTTTTGTACCATTGTTGTTTTGACGTCCATTTTTCCCGCTTCAAATGTTGCCATTGCGTCATTTATGATTTCTCTTCATGGAAAAACCCAATTTGGCTCTTTATATTACTCTTGCCTTCCCACCTAATCCCATCGGTGCTCCCATTACCAAGTCACGTTTGCGCTTATCGGAGTCGTTTTATGCGTGATATCACTGATACGTTGCACATTTCAGGGAAGGCGGCGGCGTGTGGCTAAATCGTCCACGGATCGTTCTTCCATGCATTCGAGGTGAGTCTGACATCACTTCTTGGATTGTTTTCTTGTCCTTTAATCTCTGATCACCCATGAAAATTATTTTCATAGTTACAGACGGGTGACTGCTATTTGCATAAGCGTGTTGTGTCAGTGACGCCCGTTTTGCCCGCCTTGCGTCATTTCTTCCATAGATCGCTCCTTTTCGATCTTTTTTGAACCACTCATTCCCAAACCCCCTTTCCTGTACGAAGAAATTGATTCATCCAGCACAGAACCATTCCTCCCCCCCCGCCTAGGGTTAAACAGAAACCTTCATTTCGTTCACGACAGACCCAATTCTGCGAAACGGAACCTCTTCCGATCCCTCCTTCTAACTCTTTAAGCCGACTTGTGAAGAGATGAGCTCTGATGCCGTGAGGGTGTCAAGAAGCCTTGATGGAATAAGTAATCGGCTATTGCTATCAAATTATTTGAGCATAAGCCCGTCCAGAAAAGGCTGTGATTCGTGATATTCTGGGCGAAGCTCAACCTTTTTTAGATGGGCTTATGCACAAATAATTCCTGATCAATAGCCGATTACGTCTTTCATCAAAGCTTCTTGACACCCTCGCGGCATCAGAGGCGTCACAAGCCAGCTCAATGGGATGTGGGGATTGATAAAAAGGACTTCATTTCACAGAACTGCCGTAAAAGAAATAAAGATTCTTGTATAAGTCTAGGGGGAAGGAACTGTGGTGGATCTATTTTCTTATAAAGAAAGGGAAAGTTCGCTTAATGATAGTTCCAGTTGTGCACGAGGAGTCCTTCAAATGCCCCTAGGTGCTCTGGTACCATAGAGGGGGGGGGAAGCTTGAACGGTTCCTGCAAAACTAGATTATCACATTTCAGACAACGGCTTTCGCTTGAGCCCAGATAAGTAGTTAAACCGATTCCATGTAACCTCTCCAAGGTGATCAGCGCCCACTTGCCCCCTCATTTTGGATTCATCCGGATTGAATTGTGACCTCATATGAGTAATTTTTTCTGCCTCATGCAGAAGGTCTCAGAATGTGTATTAGCAGGGTTTGATCCAATAGCCTCTAATCAACAATACTCCCCCCCCCCTACCTATCGATTCACGGAACAACGGAACACGAGGGGTCTTTTTATCTCAAACATGGCTATCTATGACATGACGCTTGCAGCGACTTTCACTATGGGTTTGACAGTAAAACCATCGGATCGTTGCAACCTGGAATCGTTTCAAAGGACAGACCTTG